TCGATACAGATGGTGCAGTGGTAACACATCAAGAGGAGGAAGAACAAGACGACGCCGGAGATGTAGCGGCTGATGATAATGGACTTCCTGGGGGCCTGCTATTTGCGTCTGGCTCCTGTCTGTCAACCAAAAAACATGGCGTTCTACAATCTCAAATAGACCGCTGTCCCAGCGACCATACCGTCGACCTCGTTGACTACGACACCACAGCCGACGGTGGAGTGGAGCTCAGAATCGAACTAACTCGTCGATCAGCAGTGGCAAATCGTCCGCGTCCTTTACTTCGTCAGGACTTCGATTCTCGGACTCATTCTCGAGGCAGCAGCAAAGCACATGGCCATTCGGGACCGAGTCGAGCTGTAGCTGAAGCGCATCGATTACGTCGTCGTATTGGAGGCGTGTTTGTCGCCCGAAGCCTATCCGGGCCAACACCTCAGCAGCATCATATGCACCAAGCGGCCATAGAACACCAACAATCTCGGTCGTCCCGGCCTGCAGCAGATAAAATCCGACGCCACGGCAACGCTTCATTAGTTCGCAGGTCTAGGGAGCCCGTTAGACCTAATCTCAGCAATCTAACTTTTGCGTCATCTGCTGGCGTGCCGCACTCTCGAAAGGTTTCTGTTCGTAGTAACCTCTCCTCGATTGATAATGACGGCAGCTCAAACCTCGGGGCTGATGATCGAGTAAATCGTCGACCTGGGGACCCCGAAGGCACAGATTCAGAAAGACGTCGACGAGTTCGGCGAGATGCGTCACCGGATATCGCATCGGATTCCCTTGATAGCAACCTATCTGATTATTTCATGGGGCGCCAAACTCTCAGTCCGCCAGGTGCTTATACAGCCAATCTTCCTGGCCAGCTGGCTGAGTTTGCGACCAGCCTTCCAGATCAGATTGGTTTGAACATCCGCATAGAAGGTCAGTATGCATCCGCTTCTAATTACCTAATCACAAATTAATTTGATTACTTAGCTAATCCTCGCAGTATGTCATCTAAGAAATTTACATTTTTGCTTGTCTACTAAGCCGCCAAAATGTCTTGGGTTCCATCAAAAGCAACTTTCAGATTGCTCGAGACCAGATGCTGCCTCCTTTGAGCTTGTTCGCTCCTCGGACAAGAAGAATCCGTGCTGATTCGTGTCGATTACAGAGTTTATTTTGTTCGAAAGGTCTATATGTTTAATTCTCCTTATATAAAGAGGTTTCCTTATGTTTTCCTTTATTGCGAGGCAACCACAATTGATTAAACCAGGAGACCCCAACTGATTAACTTAGTATAAAAAATAGGCTACACTTATAACTAGGCCATCCACTAATCAGGCTTGTTTCCT